ACTGCATGACATGGGTGCACTCACATACATGCAGGCAATACACTCATACACATAAAATGAAAATAAATAAAATATTTTTAAAAAAGGTATGTAGGATAATGAAGTGGTCTTTAGATGCTAGCAGTTACCTTATTGAAATGATCTCCAATGACATGCCATATTCGGGACCACTGCAGCCGGATCCGATTCATGTTATAGTACGATATCTCCACAATCTTCTGTAGACTGAACATTCGAGGATGGTGTGGGGAAGCCAGTTCGTCCATGGACACAGCACACAGCCAGCGGACAAAGTCAACTACAGGCCAGAGCCAACAATACATGGGAAGCCCAGTTAGTAACAGTCATACAGCAAAATGGGAAGTTGATGTGATTGTCACAGGAACATCAGATACATACCTATTGCATTGCCATCCAGTCTAGTAGAGCCAGTAAAAATTCTAGGGAGACAATTACAGACCCAAAAAGTAAAGGTTACATTTGGAATTGAAATTTCACAAGTGCTCAGAAAAAGCAGAGAGGAAACATTTTCAGAATGATGCCTCCATCTGCACAAATCATGAAGCATCATAAGGACAGAACTGGTTGGGGGAAGAGTTGACAGCAGAAGGCCTTAGGGTTAGAAGAGGTGTCACACATAGGGTGAAGGGGAATCATGGCATGACATCAGTGGGAAGAGCAGACTTAGAACTTGCAAAAAATTGCTCCTCCTGATAAAAAAAGATCAAAATTAATTTCTTCAGAACGGAACTCTTTTTGTGTTTTAAATCTTTATTATTACTGTGTATGCGTGTGCATGTGTGCTATGGCACGTGTATAGAGGTCAGAGGACAACTTTGTAGAGCTGGTTCTCTCCTTTCATCTTTATGAAGAGTCTAGGGATCAAATTCAGGTTGTCAGGCTTTCATAGCAAGTGCCTTGACCCACTGAGCCGTCTCATTGGTCCTAAACATTTTTGAGATAGGGCCTCATAATATTATACCTCAGGCTGTGTTGGCATTGAATTTACAATTCTGTGCCTTCTGCATGCTAGAATTACAGGTATGTGCCACCACACCCAACTAAGATGTCCTTCCTTCCTTTTTTTCTTTGAGATGGGGTCTCCCCATAGCTAGAGCTGGCCTGGAACTTACCATGTAGCCCAGGCTGGCCTGATCTCCCAGAGAGTCACCTGTTTCTTCCTTCTGAGTACTGGGATTAAAGGTGCACTCCATGTCCAGCTTTCTTCTCTTTTTTTATGTGCTCAAGTGTCTTGCCTGCATGTATATATGTGCACCATGTATGTGCAGTGCCCACAGAGGCCCCCTCCCCTGGAACTGGAGTTATAGATGCTGTGAACAGGTATGTGGGTATTGGAAACCAAACCCAGGTCCTCTGCAAGAACAGTACATGCTTTTAACCATTGAGCCATCTCTCTAGCCTGTCTTGTCTTGGTATCGAAGATCAAACAGGGCCTCACACGTGCTTATATGAGCACTCTATCCCAGCACTGAGTATTTTTTACTGTGTGTGTATGTGTATATTGTGTATGTCATGTGTGGTTGGTGCCCACAGTGGCCAGAAGTGGGTATCAGAATCCCTGGAGCTAGAGTTACAGGCTTTGTGACCTGCCCAGTGTGGATGTTGGAAACTGAATTTAGGCCCTTTGCAAGAGCATCAAGAGTTCTTAACTGCTGAGCCATCTCGCCAATCCCTAAGATTTTTCTTTTTAAGACAAGGATAGTGACAAACACATATAATTCCAGCACTGGGGAAGCTGAGGCAGGAGGGTGACACCGCATTCCGGCCTGCTTATGCTATACAGAGTGAGGCCCTGTTGCAAAAAAACAAACAAACAAAAACAAAAATAATTTCCATTAAGGAAACAAGGTAATTTAAACATTAACAAGAACAAAAACTCTTAATTTTTAAGATGATGTCATAATACTAATTTTTTTGTTCGTTCAAGACAGGGTCTCTCTGTAGCCACAGCTGTCCTGGAACTCACTCTGTAAATCAGGTTGGCCTCAATGTCACAGAGATCCACCTGCCTCTGCATTCCAAGTACTAGGAATGCCTGGCTACACTGCTAAAATTAAAACTTTTAAAAAAGTCAAAATTTGGAGCTGGAGAGATTGCTCAGTGGTTAAGAACACTGGCTATTCTTGTATAAGACCCAGGTTCGAATCCCAGCATCCACATGGCAGCTAACAACTGTCCGTAACTCTAGTCCCAGGGGATCCAACAGCCTCTTCTGTCTGTCCTCCAAGGGCACTGCACGACACGGGTACACTTACCTACATGCAGGCAATACACACATATATGTAAAAATAATAAAGTATTAAAAAAAAAAAGTCAAAATTCAGGCCAGGCACATGCCTTTAATCCCAGCACTAGGGAGACAGAGGTAGGTGGATCTCTGTGAGTTTGAGGCCAGTTTGATCTACATAGTGAGTTCCGGGTGAGCTGAGGCTAGAGGAGATCCTTCTCAAAAAGACACACACACACACACACACACACACACACACACACACACACAAAGTCCAAATTTAAACAAATGACAAGGTATGACAAGGTTTTTTGTTTGTTTGTTTGTTTGTTTTCGGCCTTTTAAGTCTCCCTGTAGCCCTAGCTGGCCTTGAACTCACAGAGATCCACCTGCCTCTGCCTCCCAAGCACTGGGATTAAAGGCGTGCACTACCACGCCAGGCCTAAATAACAAGGTTATTAAGAAGCAAGTAGGTCACACATGCAATCTTTAATCTACTTTAAGATTAAACAATCTAGAGCTGACAACATAATAAACAGATTAGGAATCACTACACCCAGGAACTAACAGGTGACACCATACACTGGTGTCAGAGAACAAAATCATTACCTGTCTACCGCAACAACCACACTCTGTGAGCTGGTCTCACCAACAGATTCCTGGAAGCTGGCCATCTGTCTTTTATCCACACCACCGCTCACCAAATTCCCTAAAATACAATGCAAAAAATCCAGACTTCAAACACAGTCCAGTATTTTTAACAATGTATCCAGGATTGGCACAGTGGTGTACACTTATAATGCCAGCATTTGGGAAACAGAGGCATTTAAATCTAGAAGTTCAAGGTCAGCCTACACTACACAGTGAGTTTGAGGCTACTCTGGGCTACATGAAACTCTGTCTCAACACAAAACAACACTGCACAGCACAGCATAGCACAGAACCAGGAAAAGTATCCTCCACATCAAGCAAAGTTCCTTGTAGCAAATCTAAGAGAGATAAAAAAAGTTACACAGGTGAAACAAGAACAGAACTCCTGCTAATGACAGAGCAACAAACTTAGGTTTTGGCATTTAAAATATATCATTATAAGCGCTTTTGTTGGCAGCAACCATCTCCCAATCGCTACAGTCTTTAGGATTTTTTTTTAAAATATTGTTATTTTTTTTATTTTATGTGTATGAGTGTTATGCCTGCATGTAGGTAAGTGCACTCATGTCACGCAATGCCCTCGGAGGACAGAAGAGGCTGTCAGATCCCCTGGAACTGGAGTCTATCGGATCCCCTGGAACTGGAGTCACGGATAGTTGTTAGCTGCCATGTGGGTGCTGGGATTCGAACCTGGGTCTTCTGCAAGAACAGTCAGTGTTCTTAACCGCTGAGCCATCTCTCCAGCCCCAGTCTTTTAGGAAAACAAAATAGAACCCAGTGAGTAATGGAGAACACACAGTGGCTCATCTGCAGGTGGCTTGGTGGACTGTGCAGGGCTACGCTGCAGTACAGCTTTTTCCTGAGCACCCAAGAAGAGGCAGCTTCCCTGGCACCTCTGCTACTCCTCTGCCTGTGACTGCTCAAGTCACGTTTGTGCTTCAGTTTCCCCAGTTACACAACAGGGAGGGTAACAATCCCCATGCCACTGGGTCACTAGGAAGATCGAATGAGCTGAAGTACATAAACTGGGTGCTCAGAATGTGGCTAGGCACGTTTGCTTGCTCTACTGCTATTACTGCTACAACACTGACCACACAGCTCCTCAACTCACAGGAGAGATGGAAACGACTGTATTTAAGAACACTGTTTAATACAATCCCTGCCCACAAACATAGAGGAGATGCAGACAGTTGATAGGAAAAGCCTTTCCCGTGAAGAAACATGGACACACCCCCACATATAGGCAGTATAGTGAAGCCTCTAAAGCACATGGCCCCCAGCATGGCACTCATGGGAAAATGGACGCTTCACTCAACAGCTTAGTTACAGTGAAGCCAGTGGAAGCAGCATGTCCAGGTGTACTCACACTCAGTCAGCTGCATGAAAGGAAGAGAGGAATACAGGACAGTCCTGATGAGACAAGAAAGGTCTCATCACAGGTCACTTGGGAGTCTCTGTCACTCAGCAGGGCGGGTCTGGTATCTTACCAAGGCCAAGACCCATGAACTCTTCTCCAGCCAGTGTGTGGCCCTTCAGGCTCCCTTCTCGTTCCCGCCCAGAGCCAGACAGGTAACGGGTCTTCACCCCGGTTCCTATCAGCTGAGCAAGTTCCAGCTGGCTGATGCATTTCAAGATCTAAGAAGAAGGCAAAGGGATTGAGGCCTCACTTTACAGGCTGAAAAGGATGGTATAATCTTCAGTCAGTCACTGGGTTTTCTGGAACACACAGCCTTTCACCATAAAGCCAAAGGGCCTTTAGATGGCTTCCCTACAGACAAGTGGCAAGAGTCCTAGCTACACAACCCCAAGTGTGGGTTGTGAAAACATATTACCATACACTGTGCTTCCTAACTATTAAAAAATAAAGAACGGGGCTGGAGAGATGGCTCAATGGTTAAGAGAACTGACTGCTCTTGCAGAGGACCCGGGTTCGATTCCCAGCACCACATGGCAGCTATCAACCATCCTTAACACCAGTTCCAGGGGAATCTGAAGCCCTCTTCTGATCTCTGCAGCATTGCAAGACACAAGTGTGCTCTCATACATGCAGGCAATACACTCGTACACATAAAAATAAAAATAATAAAATATTTTTAGCCGGACATGGTGGCGCACGCCTTTAATTCCAGCACTCGGGAGGCGGAGGCAGGCGGATGTTTGTGAGTTCAAGGCCAGCCTGGTCTTCATAGTGAGTTCCAGGACAGCTGGGGCTACAGGGAGACCCTGTTACAAAAAGAGAAAAATAATAATAATAATAAAATATTTTTAAAAAGTGAAGAACAAGCCAAAGGAAAATTGGTATAATGGCATTATTCCATATACACACAATACATATGTGTATGTAAGTATTTGCAAATCTAGTAAGTAGTCAATAAAGAGAAAGAGGTAGAGCAGGAGATTCCTTTAATTTAAAATTTTTATTTATTTATATTTTGTGTGTTGTGTTTTGCCTCATGCATGTAAATGCACCCATGTGTGCAATGCTTGTGGAGGCCAGAAGAAGGCAATGGATCACAGATGGTTATTAGCTGCCATGTGGGTCCTGGGAACAGACCAGGGTCCTCTGCAAGGGCAGTTAATGCTCTTAACCAGTAAGCCATCTCTCCAGCCCTGGGAGCAGGAAATTCTATACTATGACATTCAAATCCATGCAGTCTGACCTTGTCTCCTATTCCCCAACTTCTCTTGTCTATGCTTTTCATTAGAGAAGCTCAGGCATGCATACACGATCTCACTGGTCTCAATGCTCTCCTTTAACTTACCGTAGCTGGTTCTCCCCAGGATCTTTCTACTTCTGTTCTTTATGTCATAGCTTTATGAAAGCTATGACTCCCAGATCCTTCCTTCAGCTGAAATCACATGCCATCCCTCACCCAGAGAACTTCCTGGACTCTCTTGATCCTGCTCCCCAATAGCACCCCAAGCCAAGCTGGTGTCTCCTTAGCACTCCTCACTATTTGGCATTACGCCATGTATTTGTTGATTTGTCTTCTGCAGTTAAGTGCCAAGAGGGTGTTTGTCTACATGGCCAAGTTTCCAATTCACAGGGTAAAGGAAGGCTTAACTTCACGAAAATAGATAGAGCCAACTAACGCAGAATAAGAGGTCAGTCATCTGGAGAAAAGGCAGACACACACCTCATGCCAGGAGTTTCCAAGGTAGTTGCCATCAGTGTGAGCCACAGTAATAAGTGTCTTTATGGTGTCGATGTTTTTCTGCTTCATTTCTGTGATGCTGGAGCTGGCAGTCAGCAGGGAGAAGCGAGCAAGGGCCTGAACATAGGCATCTCTTTCCAGCTGAAACAGAAACCCAAGAACACTGTGACTCCATCACAGCATGGCTACTCCATGTGGTGGGCTGGTACACCGGGCTTCTCTTCTGTTCCCACATGAACGTACACAGCAGGTTTTTGGCACACTAGCACCTCAGCCGTGTCATTCTGGTGTGCTCCCACCAGTGGAGCACCTAAGGCTCTCTGTGCACAATACATGTTTGAGAATTAGTTCTCTCTTTCCAGTGACCTAATCACACATCTGTCCTGTGTATTAATCTCTGTTGGATGCCAAGACTACCAAAGAAATCCTAATCTCTACAACAACGATCCTGTAAGGCGGATCAATTTTCTCAAGTGCATGAATGGGGACCTAAACAGTGTCTCCGGGTTTGCTGGGCCAACATTAGACTGGAGAAACACCAAAGTGGGTTCTGAAATGATGGCTTCTGTGATGGTTTGAATGAAAATGACCCCCATAGGCTCCAAGTATTTGGACATTTTGTCCCCAGATGGTGGTGCTGTTTGGGGAGGTTTTAGAAGGTGTGGCTATCCTGGAAGAAGCATGTCACTGGGGTGGGCTTACAGAGTTCTTAAGCCTTGCCAGATCTCTAGTCCCACTCTTGCTTCCTGTGCCTGTGTGATGATGTGAGAGCTTAGCTTCTGCTGCCCCTGCTCCAGCCACCTCTAGCCACCATGCCTCCCTGCCATGATGGACTGTAATTCCCCTGGAACTGTAAGCTCAAATAAACTCTTCTTCTATAAGTTGCTTGGGTCAGTGTTTCTATCACAGCAACAGAAAAGTGACTAATACAGCTTCCAATTTCAGAACCTGAGGTCTGGGTACAAAAGAAAATGCCTAGAAAGGTGGATGGGGACCCAAGACTGAGGCTTTCAAAAATAAATGGGTGGGTACAAGTTCTTCCTGATCTAGAGGCAAGGTACAGGATGGGTATCAACTTTCTGGCTGCACAACAGGTTGAAGATTATATTTACTTGTTGAATGTTTCAACATTCAAAAAAGGTTTATAGACATATTAATTTTGCATTCAACTATTTGCTTTTCCAGAGTAGGGTGGAAAATAGGGAAATCATAGTGAAAATGGGTTATGAAAAGAAGCAGTTACCAGGGGTGGAATGCTGGGGATAGAGCTGAGGGCTTTTGGCATGCCAATCACACCATACACCTCACCAGGGAACTGCACCCTCAGCTAGGACATTTTCAGCATTGGGGCAGATAAACAGAAAGGCTGCTTTGTCATAGCTAGTCAAGTGGCTGGTTTCAATCCAATATTTTCCCCTGCTATCAGCACAAAGCCATGGGTTTCTTCTCATTGGGAATGGATAAGAAGTTTGCTGAGACTTGGTTAACTGGAGACTTCTGGGAAGTTTCTAAGCTTTAATGAATCTAAAAAGAATACAGTACAGGGTATCTCTGGACCTTGCTCACTTATCCTCACCTGCATTCCAAAGATGCAGGCGATTCGGATTGCACACCGGATGCCTTCCAAACACAAGGAGGCCACTTCAGTGTCATCACAGTTCTGTAGACCAATGCTGTAGGCTGCCAGCAGCGGCGTCCACACGAGCTACCAAAGAAGGTGGATTTTAATAACATCCAGAATTTCAGCATTGTAAAAGAACTTAGGATATACACTGTTAATCAGAGGAATAGCCAAGACACCCCAAGACACCAAGATCAGTGCTATTTGGATTTCAATATATTGCACTCACAATATAGAACAGTGCTCATCAATTATGGCCAAAGCTATAAATATAACTAGTAAATGGGCAGCTGAAAAAAAGGGTAATCAATCATGGCTGGTGTACCACTACTACACCTACCTGTGCCTATGGCAGACATCACTAATCAAAGATCTCCTTCCCTGTTGAATATACATGAGGATTGAGAATAAGTTCTTTACATAGCCATTACCAACCACAATTTGGCATGCAGAATAAAACTCGTAAGTGGCTTAATGTTCTATAAACTTTATAAATTATAATTCAAATTATCAAGACTTTCCTTTTCAAATTTTCTTACGAATTTCCTGGAAATTAAAGGTCATACAAGACTAGAATTGATCACCTAACAGGATATGACATGTACTACAAAAACATCTTGGATAGGGTTGGAGATAGCTCAGTGGTTAAGAGCCCTGGCTCCTCTTGCAGAGGACCTGGGTTTGGTTCCCAATACCCATATAACAGCTAACAACCATCTGTAACTCCAGTTCCAGGGGGTCCTACGCCCTCTTCTGACCTCTGTGGGCACTGCATGCACATGGTGCACTTACATACATGCAGGCAAAATATTCATACAAACAAAATAAAAATAAATAAAAAAAATTTTTTTTTAATCTTAAGAGAAAAATGATGGGCTGGAAAGATGGTTCAGTGAGTAAAGGTGCTTGCTGCCAAGCCTGACAACTGGAATTGGATCCCCAGAACCCACATGATGGAGGCAGAGAACCACTCCTGCCAAGTTGTCTTCTGACTTTCATAGGTGTACCATGGTGCGTGCATGTGCATGCATGTGCACACACATACAAATAATGTAACTTAAAAAATGATATGCCATTGTATACATACATCTTTTCTACATTTTATTTGATTTTTAAATTTTTTGTATTTATGAGTACTTTGCTTACATGCATTTAAGTGTGTGAAATGCCCATGGAGGACAGAAGAGAGCACTGAATCCCCTGGAACTGGAGTTATGAATGACTATGTGGGTGCTGGGAACTGAACCTGGGTCCTCTAGAAGAGCAGCCAGTGAACTTAACCAAGATGGTTACACTAACCATGAATGGTGCTGGCAGTGCAAAAGGGACTCTCTATGGAAGTACTCTGGTCTTCCCCTCTTCAATCTCTCCTGCTGGAATTTTGCCAGCCACCTTCCAGCTAGCCAACTTCAGAATCAGGCTGAGCCACACGCTAATGTCTCAGGATACTCACTTTGAACATGGGTCGGACGTGGTCCAAATGTGTGGCACTTGTGAATGGGGCTTTGGCGTGGCTCACAGCCTCCATCAGCGCTTTGGCCGTTTTAGCCATTTGCTCCATCTCCAAATTGTACAGCAACCGCCGCTGCTTTTCACTAGCTACATCTACAAAGAGAGAAGAGTGGAAACAGAAGAGAGAAGAGTGGAAACAGTGGCTAGCAGGCTACCAGGCTTGCCGTATGCCAGGGGCTGCCTCAAAACGTTCATAGTTTAACTCACAAATCCCCCCAATCAGCTTGTGAGTCTGATCCAAACATTGCCATTTTTACAGATGTGAAAATAAGGTCCACATGAGGTGACACCAAGAGAAAGAGCGGCTCTAGAGCCCGTGCTCCACTGGACCTTGCTCTGTAGCCTTTCAGAGACTGACAGCACTGCAGGGTTCGGAGACCTCTAGCCAAGGCTGGAACTATCACCACGAGTGAAAGTCAAGTATTAAGGAACATTTTGGGGAGGATAATTAGTTCTTAGATTTTATATTTTTTAAATTCCTTCTTGTTCCTAATCACAAATCTAACAAGAGAATCATACTCTGAAAGAACCAACAAAATCCTAATAATTTAATCACATTCAAGCACCTCCTTAGCGCAGTAGGCAGCACATCAGTCTCATAATTTAATCCCATTCTTATTTGCGCATCTAGACATGCACGTTGACTTTGTCACCAGCCCACTGAATCACGCATTCAGATGAACTCAGAGGAGACCTGGCAGGAGACTACAGCAGCCTTACTCTGCTTAGTAGACTTTGCGGCAATCGTGTGCTCTTTTGTCTCTTTCATTGCAATTTTCTTGCCTTCTATCTCTTCGTAGATGCTGGAGAGGTACTCCTCAGGCAGATCTTTACTATCATTGATACCCCGGTTCATCTTAATGTATTGATCTTTTGTCATTTTATTTTTTACCTGAAATTTTCAAGAAAATTTAAAAAATTTAAAAACATCAAAACATCCCCCAAAATATAGCTACTTCTATGGCTACAATGTATGAACCACCAGGGCATTTTACCTGAGGACTGTGCAAGTCTGTCGTTAGCATGATGATGGAATACGCAAGGACGTACGCAGTGTCAGCACTCGCAAACAGGGTTTGCCTGGAAGAAAAGAAGCCAGGGATCAAGTGTGCTCACAGTGATGAGGTCCAGGAAAAAATGGTGCTACTGGGGAGAGGCCACCAAGAGCAGACCTGCTATTCCACAGGATGACAAGCCAAGCATGAAGTCTTCATGTTTCAACATCACTGAACAAGAACACAGTCCAGACCACAAAGAGAGCTATTTATACTTATGTATCAGATTCTGGGCTTCTTTGAATCAAGCAGCTTCAAGTAATTTTTATTTTTTATGGGTCTTTTTTGGGACAGGGTCTCCCTGTAGCCCCAGCTGGCTTAGAACTCACTATGTAGACCAGGCTGGCCTTGAACTCACAGAGATCTGCCTGCCTCTGCCTCCCGAGTGCTGGGATTAAAGGCATGCGCCACCACACCTGGCCGCTTCAAGTAATTTTTATTTATTTTTTTTTATTTTATGTGTATGCATGTATTGCCTGCATGTAGGTAAGTGCACCCGTGTCGTGCAATGCCCACAGAGTACAGAAGAGGCTGTCAGATCGCCTGGAACTGGAGTTATGGACAGTTGTTAGCTGCCATGTGGGTTCAAACCTGGGTCTTCTGCAAGAACAGTCACTGTTCCTAACCAATGATCTATCTTTTCAGCCCCCAAGTAATTTTTAAAAAGAGACCTGAGGAACATCCTGAGCCAAGACTAGGGGAGGCAAATGAGCATAAGGTGTCGGGAGATGCTCTCTTGGTACCAAGCATGCTCTGGACCATCCTGGGTGTACTTCCTTACCCTTTGAACACAAGGGGTCTCCTGGGTCTCCAGCTGAAAGCATCAACTTCAGACATGTACCATGTGGCCGCCAGTACTGACTAAAAATTCCTCTTTAGTTACTATTTACAATTTCTATTATTCACTGTGATATATAACAGTAGAAATACAAAGCAAAATATTTATATTGTTTTAAAGCATATGCTTGAAGTTTGACATTCTTGCTTTAGGTAATTAAAGAAAGACAAAAACATGTCTATGCCAAGCCATATTACATGTGAGTTGAAGCTAAAAAAAACTAGACTGTCCATACTGCACACCAGGAAAGGGAGAAATCCCAAGAAATACAAGAGAATTAACGAGGTTTGAATCTACCAGTAGGGAAAAAGAGCAAGGCCTCCAGGTATACCGGGCACACTTAAAGTTAGCAATATCCAATTACATCTTCACAGCAAACTGTAATGTCCATTAGATTAAAATGACCAGAGACGCTACATCTGCTGACCAGTCCATCCACTGGCCCCACAATGGCAGGATTAGGACCCATTAATAAGAAAAAGGGAATGACCTGAGTGAAAAATCCTTATCAAAGTTTTTCCACCGAACAATTTCCACAGCATGCTCACAGTATTCAGACAGTCAGAACCTCATGTGCAGTGGGAGGACCCCAGGACTTGTGTTAGACAAACCCATATGCCGAATCTCAGCTACTTTACTAGCTGCTTGATTTTGGACTAGATGCTCAATCTTCCAGAGCCTCAGTATTCCATCTGTAAAACAGGGATACTTCTTCCAGGCTTGCTCCTAATTAATGATGTATGCAAAATTCATGGCATGATGAATACACAGGAGGGTTTAATGACAGGTCCTTTAAAAAAAATCCTTTAAAAAACTTTTTAGGGGGTGGCTGGAGAGATACCTCAGTGTTTAAGAGCACTGGCTGCTCTTGCAGAGGAACCAGTTTGATTCCCAGCACCCACCACCCACATGGTGGCTAATAACCATCCATAACTCCAGTTCCAGGGGATCCAATGCCTTCCTCTGACCTCCACAGGTACTGGATGAAACGGGGGCACTTACATACATGCAAACAATACATACACACACACAAAAAAAAAAAAAAAAAAAAAAACAAAAAAAAAAAAAAAAAAAAAACCAAACAAACCCTTCTTAGGTTTGCACACAAAGCAACGAGTACCTCATGGCGCCCCATGCCCAGGTCACCATGTTTTGTTCTCACTTGTCTCCCGTCTCTTACTGTCCCCACATGGCCTGCCTCCCTCCAGCTGCTTCACTTCCTTCCCCTAGCTAGTTCAAACTTCCACTTCTATGGAGCTGGAGCGCGCGCGCACACACACACACACACATATATCATCACTCTCTCTTCTCACCTCAGTTATGGTTAAAAGTTCCTTTTCGCCAGGCATGGTGGCACACACTTTTGATCCCAGCACTTGGGAGGCAGAGGCAGGTGGATCTCTGAGTTCAAGGCCAGCCTGGTCTACATAGTGAGTTCCAGGACAACTGGGACTACAGGGAGACCCTGTCTCAAAAAAAGAGTTTCTTTTCTATTTCCATTCCCACAAGAACAGCAATCACCCATCAAAGAATAACCCAAGATTGGGGCTGGTGAAATAGCTCAGCAGATAAAGGTGCTTACCTTGCAAGTCTGGAGACCTAAGTTCAATTCCCAGAACCCAAATAAAAATGGAAGGAGAGAACCAATTCTACCACTGTCTTCTGACCTACACGTGTTGTGCCAAAATACCCTTCATACATATTACCCATGTCCACACATGCACAATAATAATAAGCAGAACATTTAAAAAATATTTTATTTATTATTTTTATTTTACGTATATGAGTGTTATGCCTACATGTAGGTAAGTGCACGCGTGTTGTGCAATGCCCAAGGAGGACAAGGGGCTGTTGGATCCCCTGGAACTGGAATTACAGACAGTTGTTAGCTGCCATGTGGGTGCTGGGATTCAAACATGAGTCTTCTGCAAGAAGTCAAGTATTCTAAACCGCTGACCATCTCTCCAGCCCAGAACAGTATTTTTCAAACCCAAGAGAAAACCATGTACTTGTTTTTCTTTTGTTTTGTTTTGAGATAGGGTCTCTGTATAGCCCCAACTGGTCTGGAACTTGATATGGTAGACCAGGCCGGCCTTGATCTTCTAAGAGATCTTCCTGCCTCTGCCTCTGCTGGGACTAAAGGTATGTGCCCACCATGCCCAACTTTAGTGAGGTTTTATTAAGTTACTTAGTCATTTCTATAACTCATTTATCAACATGTAATCAAAGAACAATGTTTTTGAGTTCCACACCATGCTAGATGTTATGCATTAGGGAACAGATACCATTCATTACTATTCTATAGCAGTTTCATTACTATTCTATAGCAGTTAAAAATATGGGCATGGAGGGCGGAGAGATGGCTCGGCAGTTAGGAACACTGGTTGATCTTGTAGAAGACCCAAGTTCAAATCCCAGCACCCACATGGCAGCTAAAAACTGTCTGAAACTCCAGTTCCAGGGAATAACACCCTCTCTGGCCTCCTCAGGCACTGCACAACACAGGTGCACTTACATACATGCAGGCATGGCAATATACCCTGCTGTTAGGGTTGTAGTTCTCCATGTCTGGATAGCCCTGAGGGGCTCGGCGCCAAATGGAAGGACTCCCCTTTTCAGCAGGGGGCCTCCTGCTCTTTTCCTGGCTCACCTGGAAAGTGCCACCAAGCACGGATGCCTGACCTTATCTGGAACATGACCTTTGGCATAGTTACCTGGAGTAAAAACTACCCCCAGGTTTTTTCTATATGATAATCAGGCATTGCCTGATAGTCTGGAAGATAGGAGCCCACTGCCACATGTAAATAAAGCATACTATGAGCACCTATGAACTGAGGCTTTGGCTACTGCCTCCACACTATAAATTCTCTAGTTCTCCCACTGAATAAACGGAGCTGTTTCACTGTCTGGAGCTGTATCACTGCTGTTTCACTGTGCCTGTGACCAGTCTCCCCGGGAGGGCTTTCTTCTGTCAGTGCTCACTGGCCGTCCTGACCCCGTTCGCCACTTCTGCTCTCCCTGCCCTCGTGGGCCGGTGGCCAACAACCCGCGAAGAGAGGGAGAGACCCCCGCACTCAGGTACTACACAACACAGGTGCACTTACATACATGCGGGCATGGCACTCATATGCATGAGAAAAAATTAAGAAGAAGATATGGGCATGGGCTGTAGAGATGGCTCAGCAGTTAAGAACACTTACAGCTATTGTAGAGGACCCAGGTTTGGTTCCCAGCTCCCACATGGCAGCTAACACTATCCTTAACTTCAGTTCCAAGGGATCCAGTGCCCTTTTCTGGCCTTCATAGGCACCATGTAGCACATACATACATGCAGACAAAACACTTGCACACATAAAATAAAATCTTTTTTTTATTTTTTTTTTCGGTCTTTTTGAGACAGGGTTTCCCTGTAGCCCCAGCTGGTCTGGAACATACTATGTAGACCAGGCTGGCCTTGAACTCAGAGAGATCCATCTGGCTCAGCCTCCCAAGTGCTGGGATTAAAGGCATGTGCTCAATAAATCTTAATAAAAAGCATGGGGTTTACTCTTAGCTGTGAGTCTCCCCTCACCCAGTGCTAGGGAGTGAACCCAGGGCCTTTGCATACTAAGCAAATGCTCTACCAATAAGCCACATCCTCATCCCTGTCTCTTGTTTCTTGCTACACACCTCAGTCTGGCCTGCAACTCTCAGTTCTCTTGCCTGCACCTCTTGAGGGTTGGCATGCTCAGGTACCTGTGAGATTTTGGGCAAGATACTTAACCTCTCTGGTCCTCGATCTCCTTCTCTGTAGAATGGGGGCACCAACAAGGTTGCTACAAGGTCTTATGTAAGATACTGCTTAGAAAAGATCCTAGCACATAGTAAATAGGAAATTCAATTTCCTGGCAGAACTGCAATGATTAAACCCAACCCCCAACCAGGTCAAGATCAATGTCAGCAAGAAACAGGCAGAAGGAGCTGAGGTCCAGTGCTCACCCTTGGTTACACTCTATGTATCTTGCAGCAAACTTCTCCATTAACCGGTCAATCTTCTGAGCTTCCCCAGGCAAGCGGAAGCCTTCCAGGAACATCCTCAGGGCTGAGACGAATTCTTTTTCACAGAAGTCCAGTTGGTCCACATAGGCATACATCACCTCCTTGTTGAACCTCGTGCTATCGCCCAGAAATTCACCGACTTGGGTCTGAAACATGCATACTCACTCACATCTAAAAATTGCCAAATATGAACTCATAGCAAAGGACACCAGCTGGGGGTAGATGACTGTGACTAGACCATAATGGCCCTAAGTGCCCACAGTGGCTGTCTGCTTTAAGTAAGGAATGACTGCCCCAGCTTCCAGACACAGGGCAGCCTGTCATGGAAGGAAGAAGAAACATGAGGCCTAAACATGGAAGGGCTATGGGCACACTCAGCCACAGAACAGTTTCTAGTGATCAAGGGCCACTTCTAGCTCTGAAACTCTCCTCCTCAATGTGCAACTACGGGTCAGAGGAGAGTCCCTATCAAGGAATGCTGCACAATGCCAGGGGGATGGCATGGCTGCTGGAGCCAGGGTATACAGAAGACTGTGCTCAGGGCCAGTCAATCTCGAGCTGCAAGCCAGTGAGCCTCAACATCAGCCCAGAGCCACATGCTGTGCTGACCCCTGCCTTACAGAATCCAAGCGCTCCTCCTGATGCAGGAACTGGGCAATGTCCTCTACAGCTGCTCCCAGCATGCCCTGCTCTTGAAGAAACTGGATTCCCCGCTTGGGCTTCTTGTTGAAGCTGTTTTAAAGGGAGACAGAACACAAGTAGCTTGCTTCAAAATCTGGAGCAGAGAGAAAGCTAGCATCTGAGGTAAACAGCTACAGAAACAGTGAACAAGACACCATATACAAGCTAGCAGTAAGTCAAAGGTTCTAGGAGCTTCTCCAAATTCCCCCATGAACTAACTTCTTTCTTTCTTTTTTTTTCTTTCTCACTTTCTTTCTCTTTCTTTCCTCCCTCCCTTTCTTTCCATTTATTTATGTATTTATTTATTTGTATGTGTGCCACAGTGTGTTATGTGGAGGTCAGGGGACAACTTAGTGGAGTTGGTTCCCACCTATCCTGTGGATTGTGGGACTCAACTCAGGTCCTCAGGCTTGATGGCAGACTGAAGCTGGCCTTGAACTCATGGAAACCTTCCCAAGCACAGAGTTTACAGGTGTAACTACACCTTGATAGCCTTTAATGTCCCATCTATCTAACAACAGCCAGCTGTTTCTCGTCTCCCTTTCTTTAACACTAACAGAACCCTAGGTGTTCAGCTAGGCACATAACCACCTAAAATACAGTATAGTAATACCAGTGGTCAAGCCAAGGGGATATGAGCAGCGTGGTATGGAAACTTCTGGAAGGAATGCTTGCTCACTCAGATAGGGGGTAAAATCATTTGCCTTTTCTCCTCCTACAGCATGTGTTTAATGGCTAATGCTGCTGCAGACAACCTAAATCGAGAAGCAAGGCAGAAGATGAAAACTACATGCTTAGGTGAAGTGGACATAACAGGAGGCTAGACCACTGAAGTCCTGAAGGCCCACCATAACAGCCTCCAGCTGTCTACTCTGGCATTCCCTACCCTTGAAAAATGTGTAGTTTATGTACTAGACATTTATTTTATGGTTTCAATGAATGGGTAAGTTCAACATTTTACTAGGCCCCACACTGAAGTGTGATACTTCTGCATAAACAAGGGCCATGATACACAGATGGACAGGGAGAGTGACAAACAGAATTTTGGCTAGGGTGGCTACAGGAGGCCTCTCTGAAGAAGAGATATGGTGCCCCTTGTGGGAGAGAGGAAAAGGAACAGGGAGCATTGAGGGAAGAGAGGAGAGCTGCTCCCATGACATCCAGGGGACAAAATGGGTCAAGAGACTGGGGTGGTGACAGATCAGGGAAGGAGGCCCATGCAGGGTCAGGTCACCCCAAAGAACAGGAAACTCACAATGACTTTGGGCAGGGGAGTAGGAAGGCTTATTTTGTATTTTCAAAGTCAGCTTTAGGCAGGCACTTCCTTACTGCCATGTCCACTGCTCTCTTTGTAGTACACTAACCAGTGTACTCCTTCCTTTCCTCCCTCCCTTCTTTTTGAGACAGTGTCTCACTATGTAGACCAGGCTAGTCTCAAACTCAGATATTCTCCTGCCTCTGCCTCCCAAGTGCTGGGATTAAAGGCGTGCACCACCACACCCTGCTGGTTACTTCAATTCTTAATGTAAGTGAGCTGATCATTCAAAAGCTAAACAGAATGTAAGACCAGACATGCTAAAGTATATATGAGACTAGGAAGAAACAAAGATCGACCAATTATTACAATGGTGATGTCATGGATACGCAGAGGATGTGCTTATGCATCAAAGACAGTGAAGCAAGTGCTGAAGTGAAGAATTGTCACGGCTACAAACCACAAATGATTCAGAAACACCTACACACAGATGAAACAAAAATGCTAAGGACTGACTTTTCCGTACAGTAAGGTGTTTTTTCATAATATACAGTGACTTCATCCAGGTAGCAATTTTGTTTTGTTTTGCTTTTTGAGTTTACTATGTAGCCTAGTCTGGCAAATCTCCTACCTCAGCCTCTCAAGTGTTGAGATTACAGGTTTATCTAAAGTGGTTTAATTTGGAGGGGAGGGGAGGGGAGGGGAGGGCTGGAGAGATGGCTCAGTGGTTAAGAACATTTACTGTTCTTCCAGAGGACTCAGGTTTGGTTCCCAGCACCCACATGACAGCTAACAACTGTCTAGAATTCCAGTTCCAGGGGATCTGACACCCTCTTTTGGCCTCCGCTGGCACCAGGCATGCAGGTAGTATACTTACATACATGCAAGTAAAACATTCATGCACATAAAATAAAAATAAAATCTTTTTTTAAAAAAAAGGCTGGGCTGAGCATTTAATCCCAGCACCTAGGAGACAGAGGCAGGTGGACTCTGAATTTGAGGCCAGCTTGGTCTACATAGCAAGTTTCAGGCCAGCTGGGGCTACAGGGAAGACACTGTCTCAAGAAAATAAAGAAAAATAAGATAAAGTGGTTTAATTTTTGTCATCAGAAAAGGAAATCAAGGCCTCCTGAGCCACAAAGGTTTATCCATTTAAAGTCATTCTCCTCCTCATGTACATGTGCCCACATTCCTTTGCTCTGCCTGCTGGCCAACATGGACCCATCATGGGTGCTTCCCCCTGTAGGAGTCAGTCTCTGACTCCCAAAGATGCAGCTTTTCCAGAGGCCCTGAGAGATGGAATTGACTGGCAACCACTCACAGCTCAATGCCGTTCTCAATGATTTCCTTCTGTTGCTTGATGACCTCAAACTGCTCTGGGCTATCCTGAATGGTTGTCTGGGTCCCCGAGGACACTGTGGACTCCATGGATGTCACGCTGCACCGTCTTGCCATGTCAAGGCCTTTTTCGGTCCCCATTTCCTGATCCATGAGCCTCTCCTGACCTGCAGTGACATAAAAAAAAAGGAAACCAACGAAGAAGATGGAATACAGACGTGGCCCAGGGGCTCTGGCTTCTCAACTCCCTTCCTCAGTATTACCTCAGCAGCTGATCTGCGCGCAAAGGCCCACAGGTGTAAAACCTCTCTATCATTGTCTTCAGTATCACTCAGAAACTTTTTTTTTATAGAACTTGATGAAATAATTCTAAGATTTACAAGTTTTAAAAAAGAGCAAAAAATAATAAGGCATTTAATAATGAACAGAAGGACTTGCCCGACCAGAAACCCAAACTTACACAACTCCTAATAACTTAATACAAGCAGGGACAGATGACTAGGGAACAGCAGTGCAAGCTGTACCCTAACCCAGCCTTCTGACAGGAAGGGGCTGGAGAGATAGTTCAGAGGATAGGAGCTCTGGCCACTTCTTGCAGAGGACCTGGGTTTAGTTCCCAGCACCCACATGATGGCTCATAACCACCTCTAACTCCAGTTCCAGGGGATTCAATGCCCTCTTCTGGCCTCCATGGGCATTGCACACACATGATGTACTTACCTACATATAGGCCAAACACTCGTATACATAAAATACAAAAAGAGAGAGAACAGGTGGAGCAGGAATTTCAGACTATTTCTACTACTAACTGTCAACTTGGCAAGAGCTAGGGTCATCTGGGAAATGGCCTCTGGGCATACCTATGAGGGAGTATCTTGATTACATTAACGGATGTGTGAAGACCCCTCTAAGTTGTGGGTAGAGTTCCCTGGGAGGGAATCCTGGACTGTACAATGTGGAGAGATGGAGCCGAGCAGCTACGTGCAGGCATCCAGCTCTGCTTCCTGACTGCAGATGTGATGTGACCAGCTGCTTTAAGCTCCTGCTGCCCTGACTTCCCAGTCATAATGGACTCAATTTGAATTGTGAGTTAAAATAAATGCTTTAAAACAGTTCAGTGGTAAAAACTCTTATTGCTCTTGCACAGGACCCAGATGCAGTTCTCTGTCCCTGTTTGGTGGCTTATAACCATTTGTAACTCCTGCTCTGGGATCTAGTGCCCTCTTCGGGTCTCCACAGGTACCCAAAAACATATGGCATATACAGAGAGACATATAAATTCAGAAACATAATAAAAATAAATCTTTTTTAAAAAATAAGACAAATGTTTTGCTGATCATATAGCTCAGTAGTAAATCACTTGACTAGCATGCATGAGGATCTAGTTCAATATTCAACACTTAAAAAAAACCAAAAAACCCATTCTCCTTTAAGTGGCTTTTGTCGGGCTATCTTTTTCTTTTACATATTTCATTTATTTTATTTTTTTTGGGGGGGGGTGTTTTCAAAACAGGGTCTTCCTATAGTCCCAGCTGGCCTGGAACTCCCTATGTAGACCAGGCTGGCCTCAAACTCACAGAGATCCACCTGCCTTTGCCTCCCAAGTGCTGGAATTAAAGGTGTGTGCCACCATACCCAGCTACATTTACTATTTTTATTTTATGTGTATGAGTGTATTTCACTGCATGTATGTAAGTGCACTTGTGTTGTGCAATCCCTGCAGAGGTCAGAAGAGGGTGTCAGAGCCCCTGGAACTGGAATTACAGATGGCTGTTAGATACCATGTGGGTGCTGGGAACTGAACCCAGGTCTTCTACAAGAGCAGTCAGTGCTCTTAACTGCTGAGCCATCTCTCCAGCCTCCAAAACAATAACTTCCTGACAGTGGCAAGCACTCTACCTGAATGGGTGAGTCCCTCACAGTGCTCGCTCACTCACCAAGGCTGGCCTGGTGATTAGGATTCACATACAGGTCCTTGCTCCATTCCACCATGCACTTGAGAATGGACACGAGACACTCCAGGCCTTTCTTCCTCAGACTAAGCTCCTAGAGACCAAACGTGACAAGGTACAAAGTCTTAACAGACACAGTAACAACAGGCACACCCAGAGCTCTTAGTTAGTCCTATGAGGCTATCAGATAATCACTGACATTCAGTACTATTATGGATGAAACCCAGGGAAATGTTGACAGCTGATATGTTAATGGCACATCAAAAACCCTGGACACCTCTATCAGTGTTCACTGTAAATATCTGAGAAGCAAAAGCATGAGATGTGTGATTTCCTAAAGTGAAAAGTGTTATCTGGATCTTTTAGAAATTTTTGAATGTGTGTATGCAAGTCTCTGTGTGTGTGTATATGGGTGGGGAGTGCATGCATACATATGCACAGATATGTGGTGGCCAGAGGAGAATCTTGATTGTCATCTTCAGAAACACTGCCCTCTTCCATTGAGACAGGGTCTTTCATCGGCCTAGAGTTCACTATTGGGCTAGACTAACTGGTCAGCAAGTCCCAGGGATCCACCTGCCTCCACCTCCCTAGCTAGCACTGGGATTACAATTGCGTGCTCACCTTTTTTACATGGGTTCTGGGGATACAAGTCAGGTCCTCATGTTTCTGAGGCAAGTACATTATCAATTGAGCTATCCCATCAGCCATGCTATTGTCAAAAGGAAGCTCGGGGCTGGAGGGATGTCTCAGTGGTTAAGAGTGCTTGCTGGGTAATCATGAGGACCTGAGTTCTGACCCCAACACCCACTAACAAGCTGGGTGACTGGTGCATATCTTTCACCGTAGCTCTGAAGGGGACTAAGCCAAGAAGATAGCTAGGGCTAGTGGGCTTCCTGCCTGCCAAAAAAATACCAGCCTCAGGTTCAGAAAGAGACCCTGCCTCAAAGGAATCGGCAGAGTGAAAGGCATCCGATACCCTCTTATTGATCCACATGTGTGCACAGGAACACACACATAAACACATACAAGTAAATAAAGTTATCAATTATTGTTTGTGGAATAAAACACTAGTAAGTAAACAGAACATAAGAAAACCCAGTATTTTAAATAACAAAGTCTTAAATTGTGATCCTGAAAAAAAAATACAAAAAAAATGATGAATCATGTAGCAGATGAGTGATTCTGGGTAGACTAACTTACATCCTAAATACCCATAAATGTATTTCATTTTAAGGAGTACCCTATAAGTAAATAAGAATACTGACTTTAATCAAATAGGGTTTTTAAATTTGTTTCTTGAGATAGGGTCTCTCTACATAGCCCAGGTTGGCCTGGAAATGGTGAAATTTCTGCCTCAGCTTACTATGTGCTGAGATTACAGGCCTGTACCACCAAGCCTGCCACATAAATAGAATTTCTTACATAAAAAATGAATTCAAGTTGTAGATGATCTTAAAAATAACCAACTATTTTAGATTTACAACAGCACTGCAGGCAGCACAAATCTGACTCTAATGACTACTCTGCCCTTCCTCTAGCAAAGGCCCAGGTACTAATTCTGCACATCATTCCAGGAGCTCATGGTACTTGAACAAAGCAGGTTCCTAACCCAGGCAGTCTATTCTGCTGAACTGGAGAGCCTGGACCCTGCCTTCCACACTGGTTGTTTGTTTTTTTAATTTATTTATTTTGGGGGTCTTTTTGAGACAGGGTCTCCCTGTAGCCCCAGATGGCCTGGAACTCACACAGATCTGCCTGCCTCTACCTCCTGAGTGCTGGGACTAAAGGTGTGAGCCACCACACCACCACATCCGGCTCCACACTGTCTTTGAAGTGCAGCTGGAAATGAACTGGCTCTTGGTGGCAGGGGAGTGTGTCTGCTTGGCCTCCTCAGGGGCCATTAAGAACTACAGCAGTCCCCATCACCCCTGTCTGACTCCTCCCTGAAGCACATCACCTGACACCTCACTTCTTGATTGTCATTTCATGATGGCAGATCTCATGTGCCTGTCTTTTCTTCAGACCCAGTGTCCACAGAACTAGTGACTAGCATGTGGTGGCACTCTATACATGTTTACTGAGACAAGAGAACTTAAATATAATCACACATCCTTGGTGTTTTTACCTGTAGAGGTGTCATCCCCAGCTCATGTCCACTTCTTCCCTGAGCGATTTTGGATAAATCATTTACTAGGCGCTCAAAAATGTTAGCAGCATTTAAGTCACAGTCGTAGTTGACATAAATATCCACAACACACTGGGCATCTTGGGAAATGACACATGGGTATTAGAAATTTGAATCAAAGATAAATAACAATTACATTTTCTTTCTTTCCTTTGCGTGTGTGTGTGTGTTTGTGTGTGTGTGTGTGTGTGTGAGAGAGAGAGAGAGAGAGAGAGAGAGAGAGAGAGAGAGAAAGATAGATGCTGGGGACTGAACCTAGAGCCTTCTATATGCTAGACAAGCAATCTATCTTGGAGCTATATCCTTAGTTCAGCTCTGTTTTCTTATTAAATATGATTTATTTGCCAAAAAATTTAATTCTGTGAATTCTTGCCACACTCCAGGCAGGAAATACAAGTCAAAAGTACAGGGGCAGGAGTGGCCCACTGTTCTGAGTCCCAGCTCTGCACTAGCTGACCCTGGGCAGTCCATTCTGCCTCTCAAAGGCTGTTTCCTCATCAGAAAAGGGGTCAAAAGGGCTGAGGGGGGTGTCACTCAATGATAGTATATGCCTGGAATGGCATAAGATCAATTTAAACTTACTTCAGACCCAGTCAAGGACAGTGGCACCACAACCTTGGACCCTGTGATTAACAGTGCTCAGCTTGCAAACAGGGTGACCAGACAAGGGGTCCTAGTCTGCCAGGATTAGATTTCTGAGATGTACAAAACTTGGTGTTATCAACAAAAGTCCCCAGCAAACCAGCCTGAGCTGGTCATCCTCTAGAAGAAGAGAGCTGAAGTGGGACTTTCAAAATCGTGTGAACAGACCTTTTAAGGGTAAGACTTTTGCAGCCATTCATTAAAATGTTATGGGAGGAAGTGAAGACTGATTAGGGACGACGGGGAAGCTTCAGAATCCCTCAGGTGAACATACCTGCACAGATCCTCGTCAGGGTTTGAATGACCATCCACCTGTGCTCAAAAGAACTTGTGGATGTTTCTAAAATGTTCAGGAAAATCTCTTTGAAAAAGACCTACACGACATGAAGACAGGGAGGACAGCAATGAGCAGTCTGGTCTATTAGGATTCAAACTGCCAAGGCCTCAGAGCCAGGCAGGTCCTATACTAAGGCAGGTCCTATACTAAGTGAGGCAGCCTAGGCAGATGGAAGAGGGGGTTGTTAGATTTGCTGGGGAGCATAGAAGCCTGGCCTAGTTGGGGAACAGCTAGCACGGTACTCCAGAGCTGCCAGGTGCTTATGCAGGATCCACATGTATGACATTTTAAGAAAAATCAGAAATTTGGATTTGTGTGTGTCATATGATTTCTCAATCTTACAACTGATTTAAATTATTTCAAATGATTTAAGCCCAGACAGTTTAGGGGCTAAGTCAAGCAATAGGCCAAGACTTCAAACCTTTGTTGAAAATGAAGGATTATGCAAACTGGGGGCAGAA